ACAAAGCTCCTGTAAAGAGCACAAAGCTCTTGTAAAGAGCACAAAGCTCTTGTAAAGAGCACAAAGCTCTTGTAAAGAGCACAAAGCTATTGTAGAGAGCACTAAGCTCTTTTGAAGAGCACAAAGCTCCTGTAAAGAGCACAAAACTTCTCAAAGAGCGATCAAAAGGGCAATACTGCTCTTCTTATGAGTTCAATTCTAGAACGATGTACTGGCCCGAGTGATGAGGGTTCATGAATTTAAAATTGAGTATAAATACAGGTTCATCTTTAGATTAGTAAAGACTACGTATGACTTTAGTTTCGAGGCATTCTACACCAAAGAGAAACACAAATGTCGAAATAAAACACAGATCTAAAATATGAGTAAAAATGGATCATAAAATTAATGAAGACTTCAGCAAATAAATACATAAATTATTTCAAGCTCCATGGCTCCATTATGAGCCGTCGTAACAATTGAAATGTTTGAAATTAGTTAGCATTCAGTTATGATGGGTAATTCAGAGAGAAGTAATGGCCGTAAAGATTATCATGAGGGGTGACTTAAGATTCACACCACACCAAACCTAACCAGTTGGTTGCTGCATCCCAACCAGCTAAATCCTTGCTGCATCCCAACCAACTAAACCCTTGCTGCATCCCAGCCAACTAAACCCTTGCTGCATCCCAGCCAGCTAAACCCTTGCTGCATCCCAACCAACTAAACCCTTGCTGCATCCCAGCCAGCTAAACCCTTGCTGCATCCCAGCCAGCTAAACCCTTGCTGCATCCCAGCCAGCTAAACCCTTGCTGCATCCCAGTCAACTAAACCCTTGCTGCATCTCAACCAACTAAACCCTTGCTGCATCCCAACCAACCAAACCCTTGCTGCATCTCAACCATGCAACCATACCTGATTGCATGTTTACCAACCATACCTGATTGCAAATTAACTAACTGCACCTGGTTGCATGTTAACTAAGAATACAACCAATAAATTCGTTACATTTTACCGAGGCACAAGAATGCGACAGCCTCACATCAACAGCCCAGACATGTCCTTCAGAGCGCCAGCAGCAGCGCTCGGTCAAACGCCCCCCAGGGCCGCAAACTGGACTGAAACGCCCAAGCGTTTTTTTGTGATGACAATCGTAGGGTTTTTAAACAAGTTTATACTGGAGGGCAGAGCTCTGGACTGTCTCTGGTTACGAGTACACAATTCATGATTAGGAATCATCCATGAAATTCGTGCATTTTCTGTAACAGAAACCAAAATTTCCAAAGAAACTTCGCTTCTGTGTAACTCGAGACCTGTGACACCAACAATGGATGACAATAACGTAAAGACTGTCGGCTCGTCTTGGCCGTACAGGATTAGATTTCATTTATTAAATAATGAATTTAGAATGTCAGCATGAGTTGTTAGATGCGAACAGTTGCTTTGAAGTAAGGCGCCCAAGCGGCGTAAAGGGTGAAAGTCGGGCAGCGGGCGGACGGACTAACGAGCAGCGGTGACCGTAATGTTCGTGTCGTGACGCTACGAAGGGCAGAGTTCAAGCAACGCTCGCATCGTATCTGTGCTACGCAACCCAATGACGGAAACAACGAACAAAGAATAACAAGGAACAAAAATAACCACCAAAGAAAAAGAACAATAATATAAAAAATATAACTCAGTACTCACTGCAGTGAGTGACAGAGCGCATTTTCTCGTCGACGAAAACGTGAAGTCACGGACGGACAGACAGACGGACGGACAGATGGACATGGCGAGCACAATAGCGTATTTTTTCCATTAAATGAGAAATTCGCTAAAAAGGAACAAGAATACGGAGCTAACAGAACAATAAATTAGACAAAAAAAAGTAAAGACCGGGCACGTTTGATTTAACTTGACATTTGAAAAACATCGTTTGCTTTAACTTGACGTTAGAAAAACAGCAAAAAAAAACGCTTCCCCATGCAATCAAGCCATTATAAGTTGCTTGTAGAAACTCTATTTAATAAGCCTTCATGTATTAACTAGGAAACGAGTTTAAATTTAAGAACGGTGTTATAAAAAGTACAATTTGCTGCAGCTTTGGTGATTATTCAATGTGAATAAAGGTAAACATTAGAAGGCAAGGCAATATGGTAGTTTGTGCACCTAAAATAAAAATAACAGTCGTAGCCTTGCAAGAACTTCTCAACTCCCGCAATGTGAACAAGCATTAAGCTGGCAGTACATGAGCAGAGCTGATGTCAGCATGCCTAGAGCGTGACGTGGGTTCTGATCTGTCACGTGAACGGCAGCATGCAATGCATCACAACAGTCGTCGCAAATTCAACAGAGAGCATTCCCGAGCGCCAGGGGTGGGACTGTAGTGTTGCGCAAGCGTCCTCTGTTGTGGTGCGCGTGGAGCTATCGGCACAACTGAGACTGCCAACAATTGGACAGCATTCAACCAGAGAACGGCAACAAACTGCAACTCTCCATTCTGATTATCTCCTTCTTAGACTCCCAATTTACTAGCAAGTTATTCTTGGACGAACACTTTGACTACGAGAATAAAGGAACAAATCTGACTCTAAAAGAGAACTCTATTTTCCAATGCATAAACCATATTTCATTCAATGCACTAGAAATATAATATCAAACATTCAAGACTAGATTTATTCAAGCAAAAATATAAAATAATGAAACATTTGTAACTTACTGACTACAAGACAAATATTCAGGTGATGCATTTTTGGTAAGAAATTGTATAAAAACCTGCACCCAAAAACTGAATACTTAATTATATTTTAATTCACATACATATATATTAATGTAAACCAACTATGACACAATTAATGAGATTGGGAGTGAAAGTGTTTATTGACCAGAAAAGACAAAAGTCCAAATTTGAATAATACTTTCATTTTCAACTAAAATTCACATGAATGTCCTTGCCTAAGACCAGGAAGTTTCCAATAAATTCTATGCATGCATGAGTTCTGCTTTCACTTTACAGGACTCCATGCCAGCTGTCAGTTGAGAAAAATATCAAAATTCTACTCATTGTCCTCCCTACAGTGGACCTAGTAAATCTTATTAAGACACTGCCATTCCTAAACTGTTAAGGAAGATTGTACAGCTCAAAATACAGGAATCATAGTTAGCAAGTGACATTGCAGGCCTAGAACTGCACCAAAAAATTCATATAAAAATGTCTTTCTGAGTGTTGTATACAAAGACACCAATAGAATTTTCTGACAGCCTTTTCCATGCCAAATTGAATGAAATAAAAAGAAAATCCTCTCCAAATCCAAACTAAACATAAAGTATCTGAAGTTTTGAATTAAAAATATTAAACTTTTCTGCAGATTAAGAATAAAAAATATGTACATCACAATTAGATAAATATATATTGATAAAAAGTTTCAGCATTATTCAAGATATTTTGCTTTATTTACCTACTTATTGATTAAATAAATTTTATTCAGAAGCCTTGTTTACAATCCCAATAAAAAAAGAAAGATTGGAGTCATTAAAAACAAATAATACATCCCAATGGCACATTTCCTATCAAGTCCATTTACATATGAACTAGCTATGAAAAAATATAAGCTTGTCACATCTAAGATTTGTTCATGTTATGCTGCTTACAGTTTTAATTTTTCCAAAAGTCTCAAGATGGTCATTATGAATACCTATTAACCAAGGCAAATAGTTATCACTTAGTATAACTTGTAAGCACCAAGACAATTGGGTATTACTACCAAAAATGTATCCCAATTAAATATATTTGCTGCAACAGTCTTCAGTAAAGGGCAAAATTTTTAGACTCATAAGAGTGATAAGACAACAAAAAACACAACTAAATTCTCAGATCTTCAAGATGGTTGAAATGCCATTACTTTTTAAATATGGGCATAAGGCATGAATTTTAATGGCCTGCATTGAGCATAGGCAAAGAATTTGATTCATTACGTAGAATGCCAAGCCAACAGAGTATGACATACTAACATTAGTAACATATACCTAATGCTTTGCTTTGAGTGATTATTCTGCCCTTGAAGTTTGTTTGAAAATCTGCTGTTGAAATTTGTTTGAATCAGACATCACAATAACTGGCTTGTAGAATATTAATAGAAGTAAAAATCAACAGAGATGAGCCTATTGAGCATATACCATATTTATACTTTTTTCAATTTTCTTTTATTTTTATCATATAAACTTTTTTTGATAAATTACATTCCAAGATCCAATGTCTCCATGTTTAGTCCCTTTTTTGTTGAGTGGATGCTAATCAAGCAATCATATTCATACATGAATAAGCCAAGATTGCAAGATACTTGTAACTTGATGGCAAGTCACAGTCACCTCAGGCAGTCAGGCTCAAAGTTCAATGGAGTTCTAAAATTAAATCTCATTCCCTCAATCCCTTCCTACTGTATGACTCAAGATACTAGTTAAGATAAAAATTGAATGACCTCAATAAATAATAGGTAAATTAGGTTCAAACCGATTTGGAAAATTAAAATAAATGGAAGTACTAATGCCAATAATGGTTTCATCATCACCAATTCAGCTCTAGGTAAACTATTGTAGTATCTCATTCTCCACGTTGTAATGTACTTTAAGTTTAAGTCTTATTAGTAATTTATTGCACACTAACTTGTCTCTAAGTCTAAAACTTAGTTGTAGACTTATAAGTTAGCTATATGGCATATGCTATACCTAGCTGACTAGCTCGTCTAAGGACCACTGGACCAGTGGCAACTATCAGTTGAAAACCAACTTCACTTAATTTTCGCCTCAAAAATATTGTTTAGCGTTTTTCAATAATGGTCAATTTATCAAGAAAAAGACAATACTACTCGAATAGTAATTTTTGTTAATTCATCACAGACAGTGGACGGAGAATACGTACGAGAAAGTATATCAGCTAAAAAGCCAAAAAGTAGAACCAATGCGACGGAAAGTACTCTCACTTTCGTTACAGTTAGTGAGATATCTTACTTGAAATATATCCCACTATAGAATGAGCAAATTACCTGCACAAACTTGCTTCATGATCATCTTGTAATTGGTAAACCGCTCCAGTCGACCAATCTAAGACTCTTCATAGGTAGCTTTAGAGCCGGTGCACACCTCCTCCTGTAACTCTCGATCGACAACTGACAAAATCTAACCCAGAGTCCCAGACTCCAGGAGTCCCTGACCAGACGCAACCTCCAAAAAATAAATATGCGATGCAGCGAGCTGCGATCCATGGTTGTATTAGTTCAACCATGGCTGCGATCAGATTGATACTTTTCATCAATCTATAACTTTTAAAGATCTTGATAGCTTCAGCATTATATTAAAAAAAATTTCAAATTCTTTCTTCACTTAAATTTATTTCACATCTATCTGACTAAACTAATTAGGAAAATTGCACGTATGATGCAGCTGTAAATTTGTGCTACCTATATAAATAGAAATAAAAATTTTCACAATTAGAGCTTATAACCCAGATTTTTACAACTGAAGACACTTTCAATTAAATTAATTTATTTCATTGGACGATTTTAAAACAGTCTCTTCATCATTGATTCCCTATGAAAAATAAAGTTGAATGACGCATAATTTTGAAAGTCGCATTTATAGATTTTCATCGTTTCAAACTATAATAAGCATTCGTAGACTTCGTGAGCTATCACTGTGCTAGTAATAACGCAATGCTCGGCCGGTTTCATAATGAAAATCATCTTGACCAAACAAATCGGTTTCTAACTCGTGCAAATATTTTATTTAAACACGAAAAGCTAAGCTTTTGTTCCAATACATTAATATATTTTCCTGCTAAGAGAATATTCAAGTTTGACAAATACTGTTGTCCTTAAGCACAAGTATCACGTTGATATCCTAAGACTCAAACATTGTTCCTACTTTTATGGCAGGTTAATACTAAAGTTTTTCTCAATTATCTATCTATTTGGTTGCCCTACAAAGTAATAACATGGTTTGTTATACTTGCAACTATGCTCAGTGCTTATTATGAAAACGAAAGTCTCACTCAGGTTTTACGTATTAGCATGCTCACAGTAAAAAGTTACAAAAGTATCTATAAACTGTTCCTAGATTACATAACAGGTCGGATATTGGAAGTTAAATCAAATTTAACATTCAGATGAGTCAGCTCTTCAACGCACTTGCATTAGCCAAATCAGGATGCGGAAGCTCGTTCATCCAAGTCGTTATCAGTTTACTCATAGAGAACACCTCAGTTACAAGACCTCTTTTGGTATGAAAATTTTCGTGGTAAAAGCAGCGAATAGAAATTTAGCTTATAAAGTACAAAGTGACGCTTGTCATATACAACAACTGCAGTCATTGCGCAATGCGCAATTAATAAGTAATGTGGCAGAGAAAGATGACATCAACGTTAAAGAATAAAGATTGGGCCAAGTCTGATCTTTCGCAGTTTCCTGTAATGGTCATAAAATACCGGAGATATAAAACCTAGACATTTGACCAAAGCCAACCAAACTGACTTAGATGTTAAAAGCAACTTGTGTTTAGCAGATGTGATGTGCGTATTGTCCGTATGTAATCGTATTCCGCGGCAGGCATATGTCTAACGTAGTCGTTCTTTGGATGCGTTTCTACTCTTTATAAACAAAGAGCCTTGATAAAGGATTGACTTTGTCAAAAATTATTTCAGAAACTCTCGCAGAGTAGAAAAGGATAATGATTACTATGATATGATAAAAATGTACAAGGAATGAAAGGATATTGGAAAACATGCCACGTTTAAGCAATTGGAACGCAACTTTTGGCAAGTCATGCTGAGGCTCGAAGAACATTTTGACCACAACTCGTGGAGTGCTAATGGCGAGGCTGCAGCGCGCAGCACTTGCCCAGTTTTTCTACCCTGGCTTGGCGAAAAAAACGTCCCTTGCCGCTAGTCAAGGGCACTTTTTGACTACTCAACGAAGGAGATGCAAGTAGCCGCGAATTCTTCACACATTCTGCGAAATTTATGTCTTAAATTGAATGTGTCGTAAGCACACATCTTCGAAAAAATATATAATAAATGTTATTCGTTGCTAGTTTTACCTGCTGAGGGATCTTAATCAATACTTCAGCAACAGAAAAATAAAAATAAAAACAATACCGAGTTCATTTGAGCGTGAAAAGATTGAATAGCAATTAATGGACACTAAAGTGTTAAAAGTATTTATGCACATAGTGTGAATTATAAACTGGAAATTATTGGAAGGATTACCAACGAAAATTCATGGCAAGCCGGAAACCAAGTTGATGCGCGTTANCCAACTTGATTTGAGTGCTCTGTTTATATATTGCTTCAACAATTTCACAATAACTATTACTAGTAACCACTTAAAAATATCTCGATGAAAACATGAAGGTCGAAACATTCTGTTCCTCAGAGACTCCGATTTCAGGCTTGCGTTAGATTTCGAGGAGGAACTTGTTGGCAGTTGATTTCTCACGACCGAAACAACGCTCTCATTCATATTAATTACGTTCAAGATATAGCTTTGAGCCTTGACGTTCAGACGCTCATACCAGCGCTCACTTTGAGCCTTTTTTGATTCTCAAGCGCCGAATTGACAACAACCGTCATGCGGTTATAACAGGTTGTAGCTGGACATTCTGCTGCTTTGAAAACAGGTTCTGCTGGAAGCATCACTCGAGCGCAACCATTTTGTTTAATAAAAAAATCGTCAAGACTTCCCGAAATAAAAAACTGATGTAATTATCAAAGGTTAAGACTCCGCTACACGTCATTCAAATTTGATTCTGAACATGAGTGGTAACTTTTAGTTTTTAGTCACTTGGACCATGTTTGTCCGAATTCCAGTAACTATGATAATCTGAATGGTAAATTTCACTAATGTGGGTAAAATATATTTGATTCTTAATTGAAGAGTCCTAACTTCCGAAGAGCTGTAAAAGTGCTTCCATATCAGTGATTCGTTTTACTCCGCACTGCGCCAAACTTGAGAGCTTCCGTCATGAAAAGAAATTTTTTGCCTATCTCTTCAGATTAAAATGCAACAGTAGTTGGAAGCAAATTGTCTTTACAACACAATGCAAACTAGTTACTGTGCGTAATCGACAAGTCAAAGGAAGCTCTCATTCAGTGATTCAGACAGAAATCGAACATTTTCTTGTAGAGCCAAGTGGTGTACTAACGGTTTCCGGGCAAAGATCCAAGCAGTAGCACTAAAGTTAGTTTAGTGGCCACAAAAAGTTTACTAGCGCTTCAGCTATTTAACTATCTCGCACCGAAAGTCATGATGAACATCACCAAAGAGGTGGAAGGTCTCAATTATAAAAAGTTTCTCAAATCAAAAATTGTTCATCACCCACGAGGGGTGGAAGGTCTCAGATGTCCAGCCCGCTAAAGCCGGCTCGAAAGAAGCAGCGTTAGCATCTCAAAGAGACGAAGTGACAAGGAGGGACAGGTGACATGCAACAGAAACTAAGACACTCGAACAAGAGGTCGCTTACACGGGACGTCGGCCACCAGCACGAGAGAGAGAAGGGAAATGTAAGGTGTCCTACCTACATAATAACTTAACCCCACAACTGTCTAGTCAGACACCGCGAGCTCAGCGGTGGGGCGCTCAGGAACAATCCCCCTAGGAGCGCGAAATCCCATAGGACTTCTGACGAGCACAAGCACGCGTCAGGAGTGCTCCTGAGGGGCAGTAGCACTAAAGATAATCTGTAGTGATGATGGTGGTGATCAACGAAAAAAAGCTTTATGGAGATCACAATAATGACTTTCTTCTTAAATTATCCAATAAGTCAGATTTGAAACTGATCTTTTTCATGCTACTTCGTAGAGCGCGAAGGTATAATGAAACAAAATGTGAAGACATACAAAAATATTATGATCAAACACAGGTGATTCACAGTACCATCGTCCATTGCCCAAACGAAAATTCTACGCTGACTTGAACTAGATCATCTGCTTACCATGCAAAGAATGAGCAGAAAAAAATAACCAAGAAAAATGAACCCAACACCGGAAACACGTCATCATGCGAGATTCACTGAATGAATATGAAGGCGGCATCTGAAGGATACGAGTAGCACTATTATAGACGAGAAGCACTAATATGGACAAGGCATCTTGTTGCAGAACGTTCGACATAATCATAATATTAGATTTAAATTAGTTCTAAAACTCTTTAAATGAACATCAATTTACTTTCTAAGGAACTGAGGTCTGCTGAAACTTACCTCTAAACCGAATATAGGTCTCCATCTCACCCGAGCTTCAATAGTGCTCAAGCACCATGAGATGGCGCATCTAAGAGAAAATTTCAACGACTACTTTCATCGACCTTTTTTGCCATATCTTCTGCAAATATGGTAGATGCAGTTCTAATTCGCTCAAAAATTTTATAAAAAAGTAAATTTCTAGTTTCCATCAAATCAAGCAATCAAGCACATCGAATTTCTGAACATAACTTATTGCTCTGATCACCACAGTCATAAAATTTCTAGAAACAATTGGTCGTTTGAAGGGTAAAAAGTTTCAAGGGTAATCATAAATATGGCGAGCAGATGAAGTATTACGTTACATGCACACAATCTTCAGTTACTGCTCAGTCACGTCCCCTTCATATGTTGACGATCTAGCACGCTGCATAATCAATGTTGTCTAGAAAAAAGCAATGCACCCAGAAATCGAAGAGCCTCGCATAATATGACTCTTTTCATTAAGAGTCAAGAGTACCAACACCACGAAAACATTTCACCCATACAACTAATTCAGGAATGTAAGAATAAGAATAAAAATAACTGCAATGATAGCAGAGTCACCAAAGCAATTCTAATAAGCAACGCAAATCAACAGAAAAGATTGCAGTTAGACGGGAAATACCTTGGACAATGGAATGTCAAACTATCAGAGCACTCGGAAAAATATGTACATTTCAACAGCAACAAATGTACTTCAATTATTCTTTAACTATTTCGCGGGCAAGTTACTATGTATGGTCACTTAAAATATCCTCCCAAGAAGCCCAACACGGTCTCTGGTTTGTGTTAGAGGCCTCTGCCATACAGAAAATATCTGACTGCTGTCCGTACATCGTACCCTACCGGGATAAAAAATTACATAAGAGCATTTAAATTAAAGTTTTGACCCTAACTATGATATTGACGCTCTACCCCCATTTTTTTTTTGACAAAGCGGATCTATCTATATATATTCAGTAAATAATTCAATGTAATTTGATATAATTTAATTCAATTCAATTTAAATTATTGTTATTCATATCTGCATAAAATGAATTTAAATTATGGAGAAGAAATTTAGCGTAGTGACAGAATGTCACAAACTCTTCAATTGCAATCAACTCGTCAAATATGATAAATATTTAAAATCCGAGTAAATATAACATATAATAGTTCTTACTTTCTGGTACCACTTTTAGAAATTTAAATTTCTGGAAATTTCTATTCTTTCCCTTGAAAAGGTTAAGCTAGCCGTAACCAGAGCAAGAACATGTAAAACACATAAACGATACAATACTAATGAAATCCTCCAACATTGAAATTACTAGTGTGAACGACGAAAAAATACAACCTGATACTAAACAAGAGAATACATATTAAAATAACCAAGATACACAGAAGCTCTTGAACATCTTGGTATGTTAATCGTGGTTATTGTCACACTTCCTAAAAACGGAAACAAGAAGTGCAAATGAACGACTTTTAAATACAAATAAATCAGACGACAGAACGATATTCAAGCACGCTCCTACAACACAAAAACAAAACTTCAAGCGGGACTACAAAAAATCCCAGTGTGTTAACAACGGAAGATCTAGTTTGCTCCTTGATAAGGCGGTTGGTGGGAGTAAATGCGAACAGAATATGATTTCCCAACGCCAGGAGTATTGAAAATGATCACATATCGTCAAAGCGTACCAATGAACGGTCCCTAGGCCACATTTTTTAAAGGAATTAATGAAACAAATCAATGGGTTAAATAAATAAAACAAACAATATTTGGCTCAAAAAAATGTATCTACTGATTAAACCCAGAGAAAATGACAATCTTAGCCGCATTTGAGCTACACCGGCTGAAGACACAAGAAGAACGCTAAAAACAAACAGCAATGAACGCGAGTCGTCGAACAGCAATGCATTGTGGCAATCGTCTGTTCGTACACTGGCGCATGTAAGGGCGGCTTCGCTGAAGGGAGCAAAATTGAGAACAAAACAGTGTGCAGCATCGAAATTAACACCAGACAAGAAGTGGACGATCGTGACATGTTTCACTGAAAATGACGATGCTATACTCGACAGATTTTACAAACAGTGCTAGCGTTAAATTTGGCTATCGGGCTTAGTGAAGATAGCAGCCCGACGCCTGCGAGATGCTAGTATTCTCTCAGGACAACTCGTAGCAGATTTCAAGTACAGGAACTTACTTTGGATTAGTGGGATAATTTTCAATTTTACTTGAAAATAACAGTTATACTCTCACCGCTCCAAGCTGAGTATAAATTTCCTATTAAACTTTCGTTTCTACCACTGCACCTCATTTCCATTCACGTATCAATACTCTCTCGTCACATATTCACCACAGACTTGCACCACGTTCATTGATGCATCCAGTGCAGTCAATGTCTGACGGATCCACTGCGATCAATGTCTGATGCATCCAGTACAGTCAATATCTGACACATCCAGTGTAGTCAATATCTGACAGATCCAGAGCAATCAATGCCTAATGCATCGAGGACAGTCGATCCAGTGTAGTCTATCCTTGGTGGAGGAGGCACAGAGCTTAGTTGTCATAGGGCCGATGTTGTGAATAGTGCAGGAAAAAGGCTGGTATCAAGGATACATTCCGTGCAGCTGAGCTAATTGGTGTTCTGGGTCGTATTGTCAGCAAACATGACCGACATAAGGCGGCCGGTGAAGTTGGTGACAGAAGCAAGGGCTCTCGACACGCCATCAGACTGAAGCATAGCACTGCAACACAGGATTTGGATATAATAATTTGTTCAGCCTGCATGCAACAATGTGCAATAATAGTATCTCTACAGCCTACATTAAAACATGATTCGAAAATATTACTTTGACAAGTTTATTCAACTGAAAGCCTGGCACTTGATAAATGTAAAAATCTAAGTAAATGCAGAGCTGGAGCGATTTGCAATGGCGATGAAACGTTTACCCACGCTAACTAGCCGACATCACTCTAGGGCAACAGGAATAGTTACCTATCTAGGTTAATGAGTATCAGCAATCCTATCAACCACAGATTATGGAAATAATAACTCAAGTTTCCCGAAGTAATGAGGGCGAGAGTAAACCTGCAATCGACTTGAAAAAAAAAAAAAAAATTTTTAGGGTCGTACGCAGTTTGAAGTAGTATTGAATAGTGCGCACACTTGCGACGGCCGTAAATTTCTGTCTAAGAGCTACTCTTGAGAGTGATCATGCTAGTGCCAATATGGCCGCCAGTAAACTATATGAAACCCAATTGCGGTCGACGGAGCAAACTTTATTGGCCTTTAGAATCCACCAATCTATATATTACTGGGAGCCACCATGTCCCGTAGTAGTAGTAGTAGTAAAATATTTACTAGCGCTTCAGATAGCTATCTATATCGCGCCGGAGGTGAGGTCTTCAGCTACGTCAAAGATGTCCGGTCTCTTCCGTCTTCAAGGCTTATAGCCTGGTCCATTTTAGGCGCAAGGGCTGGGCGGTAGATTCCCTGCTCATGGAGTGAGGGTCCGCTCCGACTTCATGTATCAACTCCAGCGTAAGTTTAGTGAGGCTTGGTCTAGGTGATGGCAAGGTGCGATTATAGTCTCGCTAAAGGCGGTGGTGCAAGTGCATATGACCGACCGGCGGTGGCGTTACGGGGTCATGCTAAATCTCTGGCAGCAGGTTGCATTCCATCAGGTACCGTCTAAGGTTATCGGTTTCGAAGTTACTTCGCCGGTCCTCCCGCAGCATTCTAGTGAGCATCTCGTCATGATCAAGGGCGGATGTGTTGGGGTAGCAGTTTTGTCGGAAAGACGGGCGCCACTCCATCCGCGCGGCGTTTAAACAGCCCCCCGCCTGCCCAGGAGTCCCTCAGCTAACCCTCGCCGTTAGTGACTATTAAAGCTGGCGGGTCGGGTCTAGGTCCCCGCCAGGGTTCGTCAATCCAGCGAAAGGTCTTTGCGTATCCGTAAGAGAGCCAGGTCGTTACCAGAAGGGCGTTTTGCCATCTCTGTTAGTCTGGACTCTCCACCCGAGCCACCCGGCCATGATTGCATCTGAGGCCGTACAGCCTCGGGTCTCATCGAGACACGCAAGCCCCCCCCCACGACAAGGACGAGATGGCACGGGGGGGCCACCATGTCCCTCTCATTTCATCTACAAGAGGCGTTGGTATAAGTCATACCCATTACAAAAACGCTAAGAAATGACAATCATTACTGCCAAGCGGCTACAGCATCAGCATAATATTGTCGGAACATCTCACAGGACGGCGTCATAGGCAGCGTGGACGTAAGGGACGGCGAGGGTGTACACAGCCACCCAGACGCCCTGCAGCTTCTCTCTCAGCGTCGACGCCAGCGTCGCAAGGGTGGGGAACTTTGTGCCCACCTGCAATGATCAACTCAGCAAATTACATCATCCCCATTTTACCAAAAAATCCTATTTTTACCTATTAATGTATTTTTTTCAAGCAACTGGCCAGACAGGCACTTCAAGAACAGGCGTTAAACTGCAAGATTGGGGATTAGTGAAACATCATCTAACAAAGTGAATAAAATAGACATCGTCATGAGTCTTGGCAGGCTGGCGCGACTCGAATTACCAACGATAACCAGAAACACAAATTGCATGGATGAAATAAGCTGACCAGCCCGCCAAGCCTACAAAGTCATATCAGCTCGTAAAGTCGTTGCAGTTGAAATAAATTTCAAACAACACGCTTGCAAATTTTTGAGAAATTTACATTTGATAAAAGGTAGGAACGTGTGAAGGCCTCAATATCTTTAAAGGATTTTCAATTCCTGTGTCAATGCTATCGTCCAGAAATGCACAAATTTGCTCGGAAACGAGTAGTCAAGCAATATCAAAAACGATAACACATTGGCAATAACACCGCTGGAGTCTGCAAGACAAAGAGTAACGTGAAGGTTACTTCAAAGATGAGATAAAAATTTAGCATTCATCCATGAATTCAGCGCCCGCATGCATATATTTGATCGAGAATCTCAACTCCCCGCGGACGATACCTACTCGAGTAAAAAATCTACCTGCCTTATCTATAAAAAGTACAAGATTTTAGAAAGTCTTACTGCATCGAGAAGGGTTGCAATGTGCAGTCGTGCGGTGGTGAACGCAGGAACGACTACGCGAGCTGCACTGCCCCAGCGCTCCAAACTCCACCTGTACATACAAGCCGAGCCAATATACTACACAGTAATCAAAATAAAACAATCAAATATTTCTCCAATCATTATCTATACAAGAATGTCAATATCATTGGGGCATTGAACTTAAATAATCAACTGTAACTTTGAAAAAAAGTGATTAAATTCTTGGACAATCAATGAAGTCGAGTTAAAATTTAAAATATTTACTGATTTCAATGAAAAACTGCATACTATTCTAATAATGAACAGTAGATGAAAGGTGTTCTTCACCCACTGAAGAAAATGAAGAAGTAATAGTGGCTCACTTGTATACAGCAGTCGAATGCTCGGCCAAGACATGGACCGTGCCTTTAACTTGCTCGCTCACGCCGAACTTGGCAGCCATCTTGCCGAGAAGTGTGGAGTCGAACTTGGCGCGATGCTCGTCTATGCTGACGGCGGCGTAGCCGACGACGGCCAGCAGCAGCGCCACCCAGAACAAGGCGCTCAGGACGCTACTACCCAGGCCTCGCAGGGCGCCTGCACGCCCCTCCTCACGCCTCTTGAGGCGGCTCGCCGCCGCTGCGACGCCCACTTGGATGCGCTGTATAGTTGACATTGATGCATGTAAACAGCAGCCACAGATAATTATCCTTCAACTGATCATCAAAAATTTTTCAATCTTATTCGCAATTCTAGTACCATCCATGACAGCAAATTATTTCAATTTCAAAATGACGGAAAAATGAAGTAATCATAGGAGGTTTACTGTATACTCTACTCGTATTTGAGTCCATGTTTCTGAGACAGAAAAAATATCAGGAAAAAATGAAAACGATTGCAAAACATTCAGTGCATACTTTGATCTCCCTGTTGAGCTCCCTTGCTTGAGGGTTGTCCGCCATACGATCAGCGGAAATCTGCTCGATTTTATTGATGGCGCTTTTTGCTTGGCTGCTTGCAAAGACGCCAGAGAAACGCGACTCCCCGCCTGGTTATCAACAAACAGCAGCAAAGATATCATCATGATTAACAGTAAATTATAATGACAAACATGTTAAAATCAAAAGTATTAGTGAGAATAATTTATTGAATTAAGAATGGAAGACAAACTCACTATTGAATGTTGCCCCAGGGTAAAGTAGCTACGGTGGTGCAGTGGTGAGAGACTACGCCTCTCCTACCCAGCTTTCGGGTTCGAGTCCCACTAAGAACAAATTAAACCAGGAAGCTCATCTCATGGCCAGGAATAAAAAAAAGCCCAGGATGCTGCGTAATGCAATCCAAATGGTTCTGGCGGGTCTAAATGGTGGTTGCAATACTACCAGGTGCCTGAGTGCCTTGAGAAACTGACCTATCATCCTTACCCCTATTCGCCACTACGAATTACAATACCAACAACAAACTAAAAAGATTGACTATACCAATACACAAAAAGACTTTCCCAAACTAAAAAACGTAATTGAGTTGCTATGGCACAGAAACTGACCAAGAAGCTTGACGAGCTTGGCGGACTGCATGAATTGCTTAGGCAGCATCGTCAGCCACACATCCCAGCACTCATCGTTGCTCTGCAGACACAGCTCACAAGCACTGCCAATCTACCATGGAAAATATTCAATGCTATAACACTGGAAATTATGTATATCTTTGAAGGATGCATGATAGACATGATAGCTTGTAAGCATACAGGTGAGATTTTTTTATTGGAGGTAGAACAAGCCAAACGGATTAATGAAAAATGTAGTATTTTAGAATTATTTGATGAGCAACTCTAAAAAAATACTTACATCAGCAAGACAATTTTATAACGACTGCAATCTTCATGAGATAAATTTAGTATTGAATAAGTTGAGATTTACTTGCTGCGCCATTGCAGGAGAGCAAGATGGCACAAGTTTGGGCAGCAGCATTGGGAAGAGCTGGCAGCTTTCAGTGGTGCAGCAAGCCACCTTCATCTTGGCAAAAAGTTCTGTGATTTGCTTGTTGATGTTGCGAGGAATCTGAGTGCTCGAAGCAAAGGCAACCTCCAACAGCGTCAGCAGATAATTGGTCAACACAGCTCCCTGGAGTGATAAGTCTTCGATATACCGCAGAAATCCTCATTCAATGATGTATAATCCATATGCATAAAAATTTTTGTCATAATTTTAGTCGTAAAAATTTTTGAGTGTTTTGTTACACATTTATTAGGTGATGAAATATTTTAAAAAATGTATGATGATATTTTCCTCAATGCAAGCATACAGTTTGTTTGAAGCAATATAAACTGAGCTCAAATTTTTTATCTACGAGCATAAAACAAATATTTAGGAAAAGACTCCAGTCATCTCATGAGAAAAAGGAAACTTCTTGCGAACCTGAGCCTTGGACCGACGCTGAGCGCCGTCACTAGGAGGAGATCTGCTCTTCTTGCCAGCAGCTGCAAGCTGGTAGTTTTCCAGGCCCTTGGCAAGATCTTTGGCACTCTGACCAACGAGCGCACCATACTGCTTGGAGGACACCAGTGGCAGCAAGCCCTCCATCCACACTGAAACCATCAAGAATTTAGAACACAATAGTAACTCTTAACACCTTAACTCTTTCACAGGCAATCCTTGAAATACACAGAAATCAAAAATTCACAAATCAGTACTAGAAAGTTCGGGCTGGACAATTACAAAATATTTGTACTAAATTGGAAAACAAATTTTGTATATTGGAATATTAAATTGCAGTTAAAGATTTTATTAAGTGCGACAACAATCCTAAATTTTTTATAAAACTCAAATGAAGGCATACAAATTTAAGAGAGTAACTATCAAACTTCAATAAATGCAAGGTCATCAAATTACCTTAAATGAATGAATTGATACTGCTACATCTGTCTTTGAAATACATGTGGAAAAACAAATTTCACTGTCAGTATAAAAAATTTCATTAATGCACAGACTTAAAACTTTGGGCATGGTAGGAGGTGATGCCTTGTACAGAACTATGGTCAGATAATAAATATTATTGGTGATTAGCAGAGGCATGATAATATAGCCTCAAACCATAAATGACCATAAATTGTAGCTTGCTAGTATTGGGTTAAAAAGAATAATAATATGAATATTAGAGCAAGAATATTGATAATTCCTGTAGGAAGAACAAAGTGAATTCATTATGATATTTTCTTGAAATTCCATGGCTAAATTTCTTACTCCTAGGAACAATCTCATCAAGTAGTAAGCAAATTGTGCCCAAAATTCTATTTCTTTTGTTGAGCAGGAATAATTAGTTTAACTTACTCTTGACTGCGGGCTGGAAATGCTTTGCCTTTACAGCAGTCTCAATAGTGCAGCTCAACAGCCAAACGTATGTGAGTCCAGGTCTGGGATGAGTCTCATACATTTCTCGAAGAGCTATGTAGTCATCAGCATGCGTCACACTTGCTTCCCTGCTTACATTGTTGATTATCTGTGGGCAGAATCATGAACACATTCTCAAGTAACATATAATAAAAAAAACTGACATTATCAAAAGTGTGCTCAATTGATGAAGTTTTCATAGAAGCAAATGACTAGGTTTTACAAGGGAACAGAGAAACTTGATAAAAAATGTTATACAAAATTACAGCTATAATGGAATAAATCTTAATTTATACGGTATTAGTATAAATATAGTTTATTATTGATACCAATCAAAACTATCCCCCCATCACCAATAATTTTTGTAAAACCACAGAATTTCAAAATCAATTTCAATTGTGCACCAAAGTACATGATTGAATAAATGTTGTCACTGTCAAAAAGTGTGTCAAACATATTACTTAAAACAAAAATGTCAAACTTACCTGAATAAATAGTGCAAAGCCATGAACAGATAGACCTCTCATGGCCTCGTGCAACATAGATGTGAAGCAGTGACGATGGAACTGCGACAGCACCGTAACAGAGCAGCCTTGCACCACACGCACAAGGAACTGAAATAATCAACTTTCAATAAAGAAGTAAACAAAAAAATTAAAAATCAGATATGTAACATTTAATTCTACTTTCAGAACTTTCAGCTAATGAATTATCCATGTTTGAAGGAAAATGCATAGAATAAAAAATATTCTAGGTATTATTTAGGTCCCTTATAAAATTTAAAACGAATCGAAATTATTTGGAAACGACAGAAATTCAATGTTTCAACTAGTATCTAGAAAATTTTTTAGCAAAAGTGTACTGTAAAAATCTAACATTGGAGACTATTTAGTATGAGAATTACTGAAACGGGAGCAGGAGCGAGAAATTATTATACTTCACCTCTCTGATTGGTATAGAGACATAGTCAAGAGGGGCAGAACTGCTTGGTTCCTGCCTGTATGCCGAGTCAACAGGAGTGGTAGGATTGAGTCGAAGATTGAGGAATGATGCCAGGTCTTTGAGCCATACAAGATGATCAGACCTGAACTGAGTTTGCAATGTCTTGCATAACCCTTGGAGCTCAGACAAATTCAACTGCACAAAAATATGTAATTGGATTTAAAATGAATGATTTATTCAAAGATTTTGTTGATGATATTAGACCATTGTCACAAAAATCTATGAAGTAATGATAATCCATAAATTTTAATCCAGTACATATTAAAGACTTATATGTAAATTCAAGAGAATTAGTTTAGTGAAAAGTTTCACCTTAGACACAGCCTCTTTCAGGGTCTTGGGCTTGGCAGGAACATTTTTTTTGTTAGCGGTCTTACTACTTTTTGAAGCAGTAACTACAGCATCCTTGAAAAGCATTTCATCATCATCTGCCATCTTGTCAATCAACTTGAATTTTTCAATTGCTTTTGGATCATACGCTTTTGGCGCAGGGTTCTTGCTACCTGTAACAAAATAATACCTTCAAATATTATGTAGGTATATAGGCATACATTGGTAGATTGCCACTGTGGTTTAGAAGTTATTGCTGGAATGAAGCATGGCAAGTATGTATTGATACAAATGAGAATAACATGGTTTAGCAAGAAAGCATGTGGACAGTGGACTGACATGAACCTATAGAAGTTGAGTGATGACAAATAAGGAATCACAGACGAATAATACTTCCTAAATGCCTCCAATGCAAAGGAGTTATTTTTCTGACTCAATTCAGTTCAAATTGGTTGCTCTTGTTAGCAATTTTTTCCAATATCCTATGAGAGTAAATACTGGGGAGCTGTGGCAATCATAAGGTAGGCAAACATAAGTCTTTTAATGAAATAAGAAATTCATTGTACATGTGTAACATCCAAGATACTGGCCTCTTTAGAAGTGTTGGCTTTAAAAGTAATTATTTTAAAACAAATATTATTCAGTTCTATACATAGACTGCAGACCAGTAAAGTATCATGGATACAAGCATTATCACACATAAGAAATTGAGTAGATGAGGAAATTAAAAATGAACTGATTCTAAAAAATCTTTGGTTTATCACTAGGAACCGTATGGAGTGTGGTGACACTTTAGGCTTAAAAAAAGTATCATGGTGACACAATTGCCAAACTTCTGCCTACTGGCAGTCTGGCACTGGCACTCATGTGACCAAGTTAGTAAAGTGACCATTGGTACGGGTACCAGTGTGGAATTCCAGAGGGGTAATATATTACCGGTAACTGGTAAACATAGCAAATCAGAAAACAGGACCTAAAAATCTGGAAAGGCCAGCATACTTCCACTTTCAGTCCATCACCATCACTGATGTATCTCTGCAAGCTGCCACAGCTGTTTCATAGGAAAAAAAAACAGAGCTTGCATCATCACAGTAACATGAATCCAATCAACACTTGAATGCGTCCAACGTAACAGTCACAAGAATCCAATCAAGGCTTGAACGCGTCCAATGTAATAGTCACAGGGATCCAATCATCACTAGAACGTGCGCAACGTCACAGCTACTGGAATCCAATCAACATTAGAAAGCTAGAATGGACCACCCCCAAATGCACACAATTTAAACGCACTGATGCCAATTTAAAGCTAATGTAATTACATACACCAGTAATTCTTGCAATGACAAAATAATTGCAAAAGAAGATCCTGAAATTCCTAAGATTTAATTGAAGGGACAGCAATTGAAATAAGAAATCAAAGGGATATCATCAAGGAACTGAGAGGCAATTAAATAATGAGACTACATCTTTTAAGCACAAGATGCTTGAAGAAGTTTGTTCCTTTCTTATCTCAAGTGCATAATACAATAATGTAGTTATGTCACTATTGATGGAAATTGCAAAGAATAACATCTTCCCTATGTACATTCACTCACAAATACATGAAAAATTGCCTATGATTCAATCCACAAATAAAAAACTGATCACTGATGCAATAAGCTGAGACATGAAAACTCCTTGCAGTTGCAATGAAGAGGGCCGCAGAACATTAGCTATAGTATCCAGTAGAATCATTCGTTCACAATTGTACCTTAATGTATTTCATGTTTTATTTCATTACCTTTTGAGTGTCATGTGCATCTTATCAATAAATTTTCATTTTGCTTACTTGAACCATGTTGTGTCCACCCTTGAATAACTTACTTTCTGCAACCCCTTCCATGCATTGATGACTTTGTGTGTGACAAAACAATTTAAACATCCTCCTGATGTCAGTATTTCTAGAAGGCTAGTTCTTATGAACACATTTATTTGATGTTTAGGAGTGGTTGGTGTGGAGCTACAGTCTTTTTGTCAAGTTCTTGATGAGAACCTAAGATCGCTCCACCAACTCCTGGCCATCAAGAAAGAAGATAAGACATTCCACCTATGAACCAAAATTTGATTTGGATACCAACTTGAAGTTGATGAGCCTTGCCCTTTTCCTAGATACTTTGAATCCAGACATATGTGACTTAGTCCAATTTTCTAGTTATTTCTAGGAGTATATTTACTGATTAGGATGCTAGCATGACTAGGGGTATGGGAGTATATTGAATGACTTGTGCGACTTAGTAGGACCAGTTGTCTTTCATAATCCACTCATGAATGCCCCATACATCAGTGAGGGAATCATGTTGTTGTGTCAAGAGTAGTTGAAACTTTAGTCTGACTAGCTAACAAACCAGAAGTGCAAAATTAGGATTTAGTCTGACTAGCTTTATACCCGAAGTGTGAAATTAGGATTTGCAGGTTTAATTCTTGAACTGCATAACTGTTGCTTTTTTTCTTGCTTTACTTCCATTGATGTTCAACATTTCAAACTATCAAAGTGTGCTCTAGGCCCTAGATAATCATTAGCTCTCCCAACAGCCCAGGAAATGGTAAGATGGCTACAACCCTTTGGGCATACTTCCTGCCATAAGGTAAGAGTGATGGTGCTGAGTGCAGTGTGGTGTGCTTGGGTATGGTATGTGAGTGTGTAACTTGGTCCACAAGCCACTCAGCATTGATTTCCATCCCTCCACCAGTGGTCAAGTTCTGCCTTGCCAACTATCACTCCTTGGCTTGTACCTGAAGCCTGGGACGGTTACTACTTGATTTATGGTTGTTACAACCATAGTTGGCCTTGGCTAATGTTTGAGTAAGACGTTATTATCTGGCAGCAGAAGCTGTTAATAATTATTTTTCCATTTGTCACTTTTCTATTATCTTGTAGTTACCTGAAACTAAAATGCTGAGAGGCCACAGTAGTCCACTCATAAGAGCACTTTACCAAGACCAAGTGGGCTGAACTGACACCACTGCTAGTGTTTGATTTAGACTAGGTACCATTCATTTATTGTTGTATCTGCCATTTTGTATTTTGTGTTTTTGTTAGTAGAAAATTGTTTAGTGTTTTCCATGTTTCATGCCTTCCTGAATGTGACTCCTTCTGACCATATTCAGTATTTGTTCCATGACCAACAGACCAAGGACTCAAGAGATACAGTCTTGCATATTTGTGCGGGCTAACCGGGAACCGCTACAGCAATCAGGATTCAGGAATACCATCCAAAAGGAAACAATAACAAAGAAGGGAGCATGGATACCAACCAATGGGACAGCAATATACTCATGTGAAGAAATGAATTCTTTCACATGAAAATATGAATTCTTCTACATTACAAATTTTTCAGTAACTGACATTCAAGAGAATGGTTTAATAACCTTTGTAAATGTTATATGTGCATGCAGAATCAATGGTGTGCAACAACAAGGTGGCGGGAAGAATGATGGTTACTACTTACTGCCCGAGTTCCTGGTTAGTTCTCATTACGTGATTGGTGGGTGAGGTAACTACAGTGCATTAGCTGCAATAAAACTTCCGAACTTTGAGACAATAATAGAGTGAAAACTTTACGTGATATATTGTGAGCCATCATAACTTCTAATAATGTGGAAATCACAAGGTTCGGAGAATCTAAAGGTTTGAATGCTACATTTTTGACTCAAATTTTGAGTAGTCAAGTCAGTCAACTGAGTCAAGTGTCATGTCATCACATTGTGCATTGCCTTTTCTTTGGTAAGTTTCTCCGATTGCCGACGAACTTCTCCTCAACTTAAAAGCTGATGTAGCAAATAAGTGCAATAATCCATTATTTTTTTATACTTAATTTAAAACCATTATGTTAAGAGTAAATAGTATTTCCTTCTGTAGATCCCTCTTGTTCATCTGTGAGGAGTGATGTGTGCAATTAACAATCTTGGGACCTTCCCTTGTTGCCTGACTTAACGTTCATGCCAAAGCTGATTCTGACGGTCTGCAAGCCTGTTTGTTGTTTCTAGTTGCCTGGAATGTTTTTTTGAAGGCAGAATGCTTTTTTTTAAGTGAACCATTAATCTAAGAATTCCATGATTTTCCATCCTGATTGCTGCCTCTAATCCTACTTGGCAAGTAGGCATTATTGTTCAGTGTCAGTGGGACAGTGGCCATCTCCCATCTGTAAATCATGATTACTATAATGTGTTCACATTCAAAATTAGAAATTTTCTACTTTCAAAGCCATGGTTTCAAAATGACAAATATGTACAGTAACACATAAGGTATCTTCCATCCTAAATTCATTTACTTTTGTTAATAATTAGAAAGGAGGTAATTCATTTAGCAAGTAGGTATCTTGCAACTTGGGGGTCAAAAAATGGCAGGAAAGCTCTGGTCATTGTTTGAAATCCTAGAAAAGGTAGATATATTTCATGCTTCACCCCTACCTAGCTAGTACTACTTATTGTTTTAGTTTTATATTTGTCAAGCGATTTCTAATGAATCCTATATAAATATAATTTTTATACTAAATTCAAATGTACTTGATGTGGACATTTATCTGATAACTCTGATTTATGAAATTATGATAATTGATCAATTATATCATTACTCAAACTCTCAAATTGGATTTTGGAATGCTATAATAAAAACTTAATTATATTAAATTATAATTACATACTAACCTTTCTTTGAATCAGCTTGGCCATCCAGTTGCTTTCCATCTTTAGGCAATCCATTGGGTTTCTTCTTGGGTGCTCCAACAACTTCCCATTCTTCAGACATTTTGATTGTTCAGAGATGAAGGCTCTAGTCTAACTCTAGGCCTTTAGGCTTTAGCACGGTCAACGGGTCAAGATATCCAGAATCCACTCAATCCAGAATGCCTAATAAATTTTATGAAATGTTTGTCGCAAATTTAAAAGCACATTCTCCTCTCACTGGAACCTGGAAGTCTCGTATGATTTCAGTGATTCAGAGTTCAGACACTTTACCTTTTTTACTTCAAATTCAAAACTGAAATAAAAGTAAAAAATAAAACGAAAAGTTTGCGACTCAGCACAGACAAACTGGAGAACTACCTGCAAGACTTCTCTACCAACATCTCAGATTCTCAATCTCAGGTACGTACAAACTGGCCAACTGTACAAACCTGCTCGTCAGTCATCACCACTCAAGTCTCAACAACTTACTGCCGACAGTCCTGACAGGCTGACAGGCTGACTCCCGGACTAAGTGGACATTTGGAGGCCAGCGTGATACCTTATAATGATTAGTTTGAATCGCGGACTTACGGATAAAAGAAACTCTTTGAAGTTGAGTAATTTAGAGACACCATATCCAAACAATTAACTTTCTCTTCTGAGTAAATTTGACGAAAATCTGATTTGTGATAGGAAAAAGTAAGAAGATATCAAAAGTAAGAAGATATCACAAAATTGAATCTACGGTGGTAACCGTTTCTGCTCATACGCAAACAGATGTCGGTAAAAATGGTATATCTCCCAAAGCAATGAACGTAGCACGATGAGCATTGGTACACATATTCATCAATACCTAACGGTGATGTTTAGCTTGTGAATTTTTTTAATTTCGCCTTCATTCGAGAGTTATATGGCGATACGATCCGAAAATCGCAGCGAACACATTTCTTTTAAACCACTAAACAGATTTGAACGAAACTTTGAATATACAAACCTAATATCTTAACAGTGATGTTTAGCTCGTGACAATTCTTTAAATTTTGCCTTCGTTCGCGAGTTTATTTTTCCATTTTTCCCTCATTTAAACAGCAATGCGTCCTTCTTAAATTTGCAGTGAACAAGAAATTTATTTTAAACTACTGTACAGATTTGAATTAAACTTTGTATATTGTTACCTGACCTCGCAACGGTGGTGTTTAGCTCGTGATATTTTTTTCGATTTTGCTTTCGGCTATGCGTATGCAGCTCTTGGTCAATGCAAATTTAAAAATCGGCCTCAGAAATGCTGGTCGTTTCTTCGTATATCCGTATAACTTGCGAACGAAGGCAAAATCGATAAAACTGTCACGAGCTAAACATCGCCGATGGGAGGTTAGGTATTCATATACAAAATTTCATTAAAATATGTTTAGTATTCCAGAAGAAACTTCTGTTCACTGCGAATTTAATCATGTTTAACTCACGAATGAGGGTGAAATTAAAAAAAAACTCGCAAACGAAGGAAAATTTAATAAATTTTCACAAGCTAAGCATCACCGTTGGATAGTTGGAATGCATATTCATTTCAAAATTTTATTCGAATCTGTTCAGTACTTTGGAAGAAATGTCTGGTTCACTGCGAATTTCGGCACGCATCGCCATATAACTCGCGAATGAATGCGAAATATAAAAAATTTTCACGAGCTAAACATTACAGTTAGGTCCTAATGAATCCGTGTACCAAGTTTCATCAAGCTACGTTCATTACTCAGGGAGATATATTCCTTGTTCATTGAGTTAAGGAGACCGGCCGCAAGTTCGGCCGTTAATTTGTCCGAGACGTCTTTTTCTGTGGATCATAGATTGTTCGACAACGTTCACTTTGCCCGTAACTTGTCACATCCCAAAGAAGCACCCATTTAGCTTCAGTGTTTTCTCTCTTTCTCTCATATGTGATGAATAATAACATAAAACGTCAGTTCGGAGAGATACACGTCAAGCCTTCTTGACATATGTTGCTAAACTTAGGCTTCGAACCTAACCAAACCCCGATCAGAAGGAACTGCTTGAACAACTTGAATCAAAGTTCAGATGACACACCGAATCGACACTTCTCCGATCTGCATATCGATCTCTCCTTTCTTTTTATCTTTTAACTGGAGGCCACAGATTACTCAGATTTTGGATTGTGATCGACCACCACTAAAGTTCGAGCAAAGATAATAAAGAAAATTTGCTATTCAACAGCTAACTGATAACAACAGTGGATGAATATGTCATAAATAGGGTTAAACGCTTTTTATGAAGAAAAGATAACGTCAGCAGAGTGCAAAGTTGGTTGGTGTCAGCAAGGTTGGAGCACCCAGCACGTTCGGCTCCAATTAGTCAAAGTTTGAAACTGATCCAAACGAAGAATTTATATGTCATTGAAAACGCTATGATTTAAATTGACGGTTCTGCCATCAAGTCAGTTTTTGTAAAGAAAGATTCCATCCCTTTAGAAGGGCGTTTTTTTTGCAAGAAGTAGCAGGAGAGAATCAAGCGGAAAGGCACGGAAAATCAGATCAATCACTTCCAAGCTGCCAAGACAGCACCAACTGCTCACGGTCAGTCAGAGGAGATGGAGGACTAGTAATTAGTAGGAATGATGTCCAGAGATCAAGGCCTGTAAATAATGTAGGAAGTAACCGCATACATCAAAGTAAAAGTGCACAACAAGTTTTAAAATATTTTTACACGAACTCGGATTCCGTTTTGAACAAAAAAAGTGAACTGATAAAGGGGAGCGTCTGGGTCCCAGAAAAACTTTTTTATTTACTGACGGTGACGGATCACTTTGAAACTTGGTACACATATGTAAAATATAAATCTAAGACTTTTTGTTCGTATAAATTTTTCGAGAAAAATGAAAGAAACGCGAAATTCTTAGAAAACGGCATAAAGGGGGTACTGTAGAAAACTATCTCCTCCTAGGATTTTCAAGCTACATCATCGAGACGCATATCATTCGATGCGTAAGGACCATATCTATCGATTCGTCGTAGCTTTTCTAATTTGAATTTTTGCGGGTGTGGGGCATTTTTTGTAAAATTTCGGAAAATTTTTCGATTTCCCCCTTTTTTCAAAATATTTTCAAAACAATAACGAAATAAAAAAAGGCTGCGACCAATCTCTAGATCTTTTATTTGCGAATCGAATGGTATATTTCTCATTGCTGTAGCTTCAGAACTGTGGGAGGAGATAGTTTTCCAGTGACAATAAATAAGTGTCATTTAGTAGAGCCCGACAAAGTCACGGGCGCCTCGAAATCGGCATTCAAGGTTGCAGGGATGCAAGACCAGACGATACTGGAGCTAAATCTCTGTCAAGCATGGTGGACACGACAGAGCGATAACCATCTCTCACGAGTCACGACTGTTGAAAGGTGACTGGAGCGGAGAGTGTGAAGACTAGCTATTTAAGGTGTACTGAGGTATTTACTCCCTATGTTGAATGTAAATGAAATCCACCAACCCTTGCCCTTTCGCGATCTGTCGTGAAGGCATAAATCAACGTACAGAGATGGTTTTGGTACCGTTGGATAGGTCAGAATGTCAGCTTTAAAGATGAGACTAAAAACCGGAAAAGCCAAAAGTGTCGATTTTGGACCCAGATGCTCCCCTTAAGTGTGATCGCAAACGAGTGTATAGACATTATTTGTATTACAGAAACACACATTTAGATAAATGCAATACAAGCATGTGCGAAAATGGAAGAGGAAGATGAACTGTTTCCGCAACTTGCTTATTTTGAGTGAAGGGGAAGAAGTGCCACACTGTTATAGAAAAAAGTGTAAATGCAATCCAACACAGGAAAAGAAAAATATCAAACAGGAAATATCAAATATCAACACAGGAAAAGAAAATATCAAACAAAGGGAAAAAATATAACGTGTTCAATTTAGCTAATTATTCGTCAAACCAGATAAATGCACTATAAAAATATTTTTAAAAATTACTTCTATTTATCTAAAAAACGTTTCTGACGAATAGTCCCATCAAACTTGGGAGTATTAATCTGTTATTGAGCAATAGAATTTCTGGTATATTTCTGGTATTTTGAGCAGGCAATCTGGTATTCTCGTCGTGAAAAAAATGGCAACACCAGGTGGAAGTCTAGTAGCTATTTCAAACTATCGTCAGTCTCGAAAAGATCCGGTCAAATGACACGATTTTAGATCTTCTGCGAACAAGTCACGAAAAGTTCAAGAATCTGCAACAGGCCACATCATGCCTATTCTTCAGCGCCGAAATCACTATGTTGTGTTATTTTAAGACGCTTTACTGAAAATCAGAATGAAATCTAAACTGAGACACGACTCAATCAAGCATATCAAAGAGCAGCACTGAACATCACACAAGTTATGACATGAATTCACTGAACATCACACAAGTTATGACATGAATTGTTGATTTTAGCACAGATCGTGTGCGGTCGTCAAAGAGTTATATTCATGCTCATGTAATAATTGAACTCGGGGAATTGCAGACATTTGTTGCACCTTAATGGAAATAAGGAGAGATTTTTAAAGGTCCTTTGGGAGCCCATCTTAAAGTGCAGTCTCGCCTAATTAGTAGTTGTGTTTCAAGCTCTGAATGAACTCAACCGGCTACTCCAGAGCTCAAAAACTACTATCATAATTCACAGCGATGCCATCAAGGATTTTATAGACAAGTTAACATAACATAATGATATCGGCGCTGAAATGTAGGCCTGATGTGGCCTGTCGCCGATTCTTTTCCTTTTCGTGCCTTGTTCATAGATCTAAACTCGTGTCATTTGACCGGATCTTTTCATGACTGGCGATAGTTTGAAGTAGCTACTAGACTTCCACCGGGTTCGATAAGGAGCTAGGCATTTCAAATCGTTCAACGTAGATACCTCTACTCTCGGGAAGCCAGTTTAGAAGAAAAATGTAGGCATTCGTCGGAGAAGAACACGTTGCATGTGTTGAGCTGCATCAAGAGATCATGAAAGTTTTGTTGATCCTCCAGGAAATTTTTAGACACACTAAAATGGAGATTGACTACCTTTTTTCAAATAAAAAATTTTCGCTAATGCTTTCACTCTCTCTTTACCCAATACGCAGCAGTGGAATTACACTGTTGGTACACATATGGCCCAATACGCGGGGAACGTGTTAAATCACATAAAAACGGTGCAATCAATATAGGGCGATGCAGGAAAACAACTGTTCAGCAGTTCTAGTTTCTGGACTCGTTTATACTTTCTACGAAATCAGGAAATGTGCTCCTATGGCTACTATTCTTTTTTTATCCATGATCGTCTGTGAAATTGATTTCTCGATCTTTGCGATGACGAAAGTCTCATGTTCGAAACGTGTTTGTGCTGAAACTGACACGGTATGTTTCTTTGAGTCAAACCAACTTGTAGCCAAGAAGCAGGGGCAAATTCTTCTCATTATAAGACTTAGTAAAATCAATAGTTGTTAATAAACATGGTAAAGGCTGATAACGATCAATTGCCATTTGTTATTAATTT